AGATGTCTTGGTGCCTGGAATATTGGTTATAATGGGGTGGGAATATCTGGAATTTATGGCCATGAGTAATATGGATGACAGAAACCTTACTGCTGGAAATAATAGGAAAAAAAATGCTCTGAATTGTGTACCTCTCTTGCTCCCACAACATTAAAGTTTTATCAAATTATGTTAACTAGCTCTAACTTTAAAGATGAGGCTTATGAGCCATTGGGATGAGTTGACGACTTTGAAAAATAGGCTCTCTGAGTGATCGGATGTTAGCAGCTTCAAATTTACTGCCATGGTTAGAGAGCACAGAGAAGATTAATGAGAAATAAACTGATCTTGATATAATTTTATTTTAATATTTAGGGTATTTTTAAAGAAGCTATTTAAATAAAATACCTCAAGGCTCGTATAATTATGTTGTAGAATTATATAGACTGTTTCTTGCATGAGTGAAGAAAAAAGTGAGTTATTACTTTATAATTCACTTTCCTGTCCTCTTATATTGTCGATAACAGTGATAACCTAAATACAGTGATAAACCTAAATACCAGTGCTAATAACTTAAATAGCTGTATTATGTACTGATCTACAGAGATCAAAAAAGTAACTGGAATCCATTGGAACTGGAGTTCTTGTTCTAGCAACCAGGAACATAAGTTCTCATACAGAGGATCATAATAGAAGATTGTAATTATTACTGCTACCCTAATATGATCCTGTAATCATTTTAAAATTAATAATAGTCCTGGCTGTTCTAAGTAATTTGTCTTTTTGAGGAGCAAACACTTTTTGAAAAAAAGGAGGGGGGAAATGGGTTTTTGGGGGGCGAATATTCAGTTGAAGCAATTTTTTTTTTTTTAAATGTTGCAACTTTCCCCCAAATACACTAATAAAAATGAAATGTTTCTTGAATTTTTTTCTTGGAGGCAAGGAAACATTTTCAAGCTATAAAGGGACTTCCCTTGCTGATCTTCTAAGGTACTTGGAACGGCATGTTCTGATGATGTCCAGCCAAGTAATTCCCTGAAAGCATCGTGGGCTTTGTTTTGTTTCTTTCTCCCATCATTATTTTCTCCTAAGGTTTTAAGGTGGTTTTTTTTTTTTTCACTGAACAAGTTCTGAAAAGAAAATTACTTCTCCCTGTGCAAGGGAACACACCTTCACGTATTCTTTCCCTCCCTGTCTGCTCTCTATCGCTGCTCCTCTGTCTTCCTCCTCGTATGACATTTCTTTGCTCATATTATTTGCAGAAATAAAAGAAGCAAACTGTCCAGGCAAATCATCCAAACTGCTGTTGTTTGTGGTGTTGTAGCTGATGATCTAGACATTCTGAGGAGAGTCATGCTGGGCTTTTCCAGCCTTTTTCTTCTAGTCTCTGTGCTTCAGGACCTATTTTTAGAACTCGATCAGCACAATTGCCTTGCACAATAAATAGATCTGACATGGTGAGGGTACCAGAGCGTGCGTGTGTGTGTGTGTGTTTATAGCTCTTCTTACAGTGATTTGCCTTGAGTTTGAGGGAAAGGGGTGCTTCCCTGAGGAGGAAGGAGGTAAAAGACCAAATGAGTGTCATCCTTTTCAGGTAGAAGAGTGCTCAGACTGGGTATTCATGACTTGCATCAAGCTGCTGTTGCTTCTGTATGTGGGATATGCTGTGTCCTGCTGCCTCAGAAATTGTACAGAAGTGAGTTAAGAGCAGGAGGAAAGACCAGAACCAGTGTGATACCCTTTAGCAGCACCCTGGCAGATGAAGGTAGTGAGCTACATGCAGCTGTTTCATACAGTCCGTTGCCCTTACTTGGCCAAGAAACGGCAAAGGTGGTGTTTTTTGGGGAGGTGTACTTGCGTGTTTCACAACTGGGAGGAGTTTTTTTCCCAGCTGGCTAGAAAAGGAAGAAACAAACAAACAGGAGCATTTTTGTTACATTAGCCATGTAAAACATGGTTGACAGCTCATAACATCTGAAAACAGCCTGGGGAAACAGGGAGACTCCAAAGGAGGCACCGAAGAGCATACAATTTAGTCTTCTGTGTTTAAGATTAACATTATTATTCATCTGTTCTTGTTAGCTAATCTCTTATGGAGTCAACTCCTGTAGAGCGAAGGGAAGGGCCTTTATTGCCAGAGTGGAAGAGACAGCTGCCACAAGATATCCCCCCTCAAGCACTTGAGGGCACATCATGTTGATCACAATAAAAGGGGAGTAGCCTGGATGGGAGACCATCCTGGGTCGAAGTGCCCAGGCCGTGGCCACTGTGCTAGTTCGTGTTCAACATGATGCTGATCCTTTCACAGTGGCTGTGACATGCTCTGCTGCAAGTCCTGCCTCATCTTCCAGCAGGCGCTCTAATGGGAGTTTTTTGTCAGGGGTTTGGGTTGGAAAATGTGTGTTGACTTTGTCTGCAGATTTGGCCTGTTTATTATTCTAAAGTAACCTCTGTCACCAAAATATCAAAGTAGTAGTTAACAGGCTTGTCTCTGGAAGTTTGCTGTGCATTGGACCTTGCAGGAATCCTGTTAACAGCAAATATTTTTTATTTGATTGCATTTTGCTAGAGGGAGAATTTTAAAGGTGAAGCAATGTAAACTTCATATACAAATATAAATTTCAGCAATATAAACCCCCAGCAACCTGAAATCTTGATTCACTTGCAATAGCATTTCCACCTGTGACAACACCAACCCAATTTCTAATATAACTATGAGGCCTATATGACGGGCTGCGGGTGCCAGAGTCACTATGCACTAAGAAGTTTTGCGTCTGGTCCCAATGACTGTTAAGCGAAGCAAGTGCTTCACACTCACAGGTCCCCACCCAGAGCAGGCAGGCGTAGATGTACATACATGGATGTACGTACATGGGCATCTGACAGGGACTTGGGAAGCAGAACGGTGCAGTGGGAAGAAGGATGAAGCAGTGCTTTGGACTTGCATTGTCACACCAGGGCAAATCTGTGGCATTCTGAAGGCAGACAGAGACACAGAATCTGTGCTATAAAATTTGAGTGGTGTTAGCTTTATAAGGGGAATTTAAAAAAATTTTTTCTCATTGAGGTGAGTCAGTATTTGCATGTGACGAGAGTAGTGATGGGAAAATAGTAATATTCCAGATGGACAGTACAGCCATCTGCTTTTCTAGAAGATGGATCCAAGAAGCATGGAGAAGTTATTGGACAGAGCAATCATCAAATGCAAAGGGCTGTCGCAGATATGCTGTTAAGCGCTTTCTTTCCCGATTGTTTTGTTCTTGCAGTGAGGAAGCGAGCAGAACTGTGTGTGGTGCCCTAAGGACTCCTCTCACATAGCCAAACAAACAAGTAGGGATCTCTTAACTCCCTTAATCCATTCTGGCAGTTATTGCTGGCAGTAGCCGGGATTCAAGTCTCAGAGGGGTATGTACAGCTGTGTTACCCTCGTCCATGTCCCATTTTCCTAGACCAGAATCTGCAGTTCAAATTAAGGCTGAGGTGTACGGGGGGAGTTCAGTGTGCTGTGGCTCAGCCATGCTCTAAATAAGAAGCCCCAAAAACTTTATGGTATTTCATTCAGATGGGCTCCGTTTCTGTGTTTGAGAAGGTTCATCAGAAATAGGAACAGGAACTCTGCTTTGTTCTAGTTTTTTGTGTTTCTCCTCACCTTTCTGCAGCAGACTGGTGATGCCCGGCTCTGGCAGCATGCTTAGCCCTGAAGAGACCTTGATTGTGCTTCTGCATGTTAAGAAATTTGAAAAATGAAAACATGGGAGAACTTTAGTGCTCCAGAACTTGGGAGGGGAGGTCCTCACTTTTTGAGATGGGTGTTTAATTTAAGAAGTGCTACTGGGACTGCAACAGATACTGTTTTATTCTCCTAAGGATGTTATTCTGGAAAGCGTCCTTTCCTAAACAATAGGAATTTATGTACTTAGTTTAATTCACTCTCACTCCCATCAGTGATATAAGATGGTGCACGTCAATATTAATAACATGGTTTTTGGCCCCTTTCAAAGCCTTGGGATTTTTGCTGTAGTCTGGGTTATCACCCTGCCTGTCCCCCAACGAGCTGAGTATGGGAGGCATCATGAAAACATTGGTTGGCATGTTTCCATCTTGGTTTCTGACTGGATAAACCATTCCTCCCAGAATATTTTGTCCTTAATGTTTTCATCTGGGGAAGTTGTGACATGTTTCTTCTGGAATTGCCAAAATGTTCCCAGAATAGAGCTGTTGCTCACCCTTATTTTATTAATTCCATAATTTTATTTTTATTTTGCCTGGAAAATCTTGTTAAGATGGAGCTTACCCAGAAAGGGATGAGCAAGGAACTATAATGCCTTCAGCCATCAGCAAATACCCCATGTCTAACCTCTCCATTACAGTCTGGTGACTGAGTGGACCCTGTATGATGTGAGCTTGATGGCTCAATACCGTTTCTGGTGCTGCTTCAGAAAATTCTTTGTTCTTAGTTGTGCCTTTCTGTGTTGGCTGTGTCGGCTGTGTCATGACAGGAAGCAAAAAACACAGTGGCACCTTGCCAGCATCCCTGCCCTCCCTCCTCCAGAAAGCTTGCTGAAGAGCTGGGAGTTCGGTGGATGTCCTAATATGCAGCTGCATCCTTCCTCCCCCTTGTCTCGCAGGTACCAGGGCAGTGTGAGGCGTGGGTTCCTCTTTTTTGTGGTGATATCCTTAGATACGCTCACCCTTCAGTGAGTGTTGCATTTATTTAAATATGATGGAGAGGCAGTGTTTTGAAAGTGGCATCTTTCTCAACAGTATTATTCACCCAAGTCTTCCAGGGATATAATTATGAGCAAACATTCGTAAATGACATGCATGCTTGCCAAGCAGACAGCTCTCCAGATGCCAGTGTTTTGTTATCTTCTCTCTTGGCAGTTTTTCCAGTTTATATTTCCCTCCTTCAGATTGGATGGAGGCTTTCTTATGTTGTTGTGATTGTTTCCTCTAAAGAAAAAATACTTAACGACCTCAATGTCACTTCTAGAACATGAACAGGACAATTCCAAGGTTCTGAATGTTTCTTTAATGTTTAAAATATCAGGTTTTATTTAGTTGGTTCCATCGTCATTAGATGAAAATTGGTTTCTCAGAGAGTCAGCTTCTATTTGTCCTGAGGCAATGTGATGATGGTAAGAATGACATGGTAAAATTTATTTTGAGCCTGTAAAACAAAAAGCCCAAGGATCACATCCTCAGCTAGCGTAAGTCTTCTTACAGTAATTGTTAGTTCACTGATTTAGAATTCCTAAAGAATTAAATGTCTGGCTTCTCTGAAGGAAAAATTATAGCCCAAACATGCCAGTTGCAAAGGAAATTAAGGTACTGTTCTGTCAACACTCTTCCCCAAGAGTAGAAAGCATTCACATCCAAAAAATGCTTTGTATGTTAAGAGCTTTATGCTTTACTCATTTTATTTCCATATTTAAAAGGGTATTTGGGATGAGTAAAGTCCTGGAATTAGAGGTTTTGTAAGCCATTATATCTTAGATTTGCAAAATAATTTGTTTGAATTTCATGCTGCTTCCCTGTGATTTAAATGTATGTTTCCTTCAAGATTAATTCTATTTAAAAATTAAATAAAGTAGTATGTTTTCCTGGCTAAAAAGAAGCTTTTAAAAATCCTTCACAGCTGAAAGAACCTTTTAGAACTGCTGTCTTGCCTGTGTGTGGCATTGTTTCTAACTTAATCATAAAAGCTAAAACATTTTGAATTTGCATCTTTTCAAGTTTGCAGGAAATAAAATGTTCTTTGTCAGGAAAATAGACTGTCTTTGTTAAGAGCAAATGTTATCTTCTGGTTTTTATGCATGAAGTAGAACTTTTGTCTGCATATTTGAGTTTCAGGCTCAATTAACTGAAACATGTCGTAGTGTAGGAGTCAGGATCTGAACTTTGGCCAGTGTTGCAGGTGTCAGAAGCCATCGTGACCTACTCATGTGCATCAGGAAATAGAACGTCTGTCCTTGGAGATATTCAAAAGCCATCTGGGCATTGTCCTGGGCAGCCTGCTCTAGGTGATCCTGCCTGAGCAGGTGGGTTGGACACGGTGACTTCCAGAGGTCCCTTCCAACCTCAACCACTCTGTGATCAGGGACAGAAGAGTTGGGCCATGGGGGATTTCAGTGCAGAGACTAATGAGCGTGCAGTTAGTGTGGGGTCTGGGACTCCCTTGTTGGGTTGGATAATGACGGTTCATACGATCCTCTTACTTTCATCTCAGTTTTCTCATGTTGAGGCCAATTGGTCTCATGTGCGTGCAGTCATCCACGTGCATATATTTATATAATACATGTATATACATACATCTATACATGCTCTTTGAGTTGGAAAAATTTCTTTACTGAAAGAGTGGTTAAACATTGGAACAGGCTGGCCCGGGAAGGGGTGGAGGCACCATCCCTGGAAGTATTTAAAAGATGTGTAGATGCGGCGCTTAGGGACATGGTTTAGTGAGCATGGTGGTGTTGGGTCGACGGTTGGACTCAATGATCTTAGAGGTCTTTTCCAACCTTAATGATTCTATGAAAGGCAGGCCCTACTTCTTATCTTCACGCCTCAAATGCAGAATACCTTTAGCCTCTTTAGAGGCTCACAAAATCCTCAAAAATTCACTCCCTAACTCCCATATCTATCTGTTTCACCAGAAATAATGAAACATACAGCTTTATGCTGATGCTTATTTAATTGACTGCAACATTTTGGGTGGAAAACTGGCCCTGGAAAAAAGCAGAACTGGCCTCATTAACTAAAAAGGCCTTCAGGACTGGGCCTGTCTGATAAAGAGTGTCTATGCTGTATAAAGCACACTGAGGTTTGATTTTTGCCTGGAGACAGCATTTTCTAGTCTGATACAGTGAATAAATAATCAAAATAGGGTTTTTTGCGAAGACTGTACCAAACCTTCAGTCCTGTGATGGTGAGCAAAAAATTAAATCTCATTTAGCAATGATCCAGCTGTGGGCTGAGCTTTGGTCTGCAAGTTTAGTGTTTTATTGCTGCTTCAGCTTTCCGATAGGTACAAGCACTTGTGGAACTGATGAAGAACATGAATGCAGGGCTTTGCTCTCCCTTGGTTGCTAGGATAACCCTACAGATAATTGGGTCCAAATTGGGTCCATTTGCAAAGACTTTGTGCAGAACTCATCTTGCTGTAGTTTTTGTGCATGATCACTGTCGTCCCTTTTCTCCTCCCTTCAGATAAGGGGCATTTAAGACTCGGACATCTAATTTTCCTCCCTAAATGGAGATGTGAATACAATACCATTCTCTGGCCTCTCCTCCCTTCTCTCTCGTACACTGACTCTGCTCTCCACAAATGAAAGTTCTCAGAAGTGATAGTTGTCTAAAAGCTGCTTTCACATTTGGGCACATGACCTAATTGGTGAAATAACTAATGTCTGGACTATAAGAGGAATAATTCAAATTTAATCCAAGCACTTCAAATGTAATCCAACCATGGCATTTCTCATCCCTGGTCTTAACGGGCCTTCTCCGTTCCCGAAAGCATGATGAATCTCTCATGAACAAAACCGAAGCAGGATCTGTCTACGGATAGGGGTGGATTGAGGCGCCTTGCACCTCTGCTTGTATAAAGCAACATTACCCCCCTGGCTTAGCTAAAGTGATGATGATTTACAGCTGAGAATCTGGCCTGCATCTCTGCATTTGAACAGAGTGAAAACTATAGACACTAAGGGGGATGGGGTGCTTGGAAGAGACAGGGGCACCATGCTAAGTTACTTCTGCAGACATTCCAAAATCTGCAAAAAATTAAAAATAAAAATCCCCTCTAGTGAATATAATGGCTGCACTGTAAATACTTAAATTGTAAGACAAGAAAAAAGCAACATTGGCAAACCTCAGCATTATTAGAAACAGGCCCTTCTCCTTGCCTTTTGAGAGTTAAGATATATTTCCTTAGGTTTTCCACTAACTTTACTTTGACTGTTAGACCCTGATTGAATAAAATAATTAATGTGATTGATAGTGTGAGGTGGGGTTAAAAGGTGACTCATGATTTTCTCTTGGAAGTGGTCTGTGTGTTGAGCACTAGCAGAAAGTTTACTGGAGACACAAATGAGCCAGAATGATTTCAGTGTCCCTGATGGGGTTTAGAGTTCCAGCTGACTGAGACAGTTTTCCTGGTACATCATAAAGAAATTAAACCTGGCAGGAGAAGAGCAGTGCTGGAACTGGAGTGGTTCTCCAGCACTTAGAGGTGGAGCACTGTGCTCTAAGACTAGCTGGAATTTGATGTCTAGTCAAGTTCATGTTTGAATTATCAACACCTCTCAAACTTCTCTTCCCGGGAAACAAGCAGACTTTTTCTCACAATAGTAGGCCTTGGGAGGTTTCTGTCTTCTCAGATGATGGGAGACTTTAAGTTCTCACAGCAATTCCTGAATGTTCATAGAGAATCTTCATCTTTAAAGGAGATTTTATGGTGCTTTGAACACATTGTAATAGGAACGGGAGGTCTGGATCCCTTCTGTTTTACCCAGAATGTAACTTCAAATCCATAACTGCAAATCAAACAGCTTGTGCTCTCTGGAAAAGTGCTGTGAGGCTGGCCGCTGTGAATATTCCTATGGCTGGTAGTAGTCATTGCAAAAGATAAATGGGAGCTCACTGGGATTGCCAGGATTTCTAAACCGGTAAATCAGGAGGGTAATTTCTCAGTGATGGCACTGACTCATCTGTTGCCCATCACTTTGTTCAATTCCTGTTAATTTGGTGATTTTCTAAATAGACAATTCTACAGAGCCTGTTTTTTTCTTGTATGATCCTCTTCTTGAAGATAAGGAATCCCATGTGATCCTTAATGAACTACCATCCATTCTTATACACACCCTGATCTTTGTACTAGCTTTATTTGAACCGATGAAGATGCAGGTCTGTTAGCAGTGAATTTTGTGATAAAATGATTCTGGGTCTTCTGTTTGTCATATTGGCTTTCTCTGTTTTCTGACAGTTGAATAACATCTTTGTCTTAGGCTGGCATCAGGCAGATGTAATGTTAGTGTTTAACAAAGAAATTTGTATTAAATGAAGTAGTGAATTCAAATCAGTATATCTATACCACATTGGAAAAACCAAAAATTAAGCTCGATAAATGCAGTGAAAGTGCTATGTAAAGAAACAGCATGATATAAATAAGAAAAAAAGTTTCTCATTATGTCTTTCCAAGCAAGAGGTCTCTTAAGCGTCTAAACAATTTAAACACAGAGGTGAAACTGACTGTGCTTCAGCTGGGATAAAATCATGACCAAGTAGACATTCTGACTATACCCTGGCAGGCTGACTCCTCCCAAAGAGCCAAAGGCTTTTGTCAATGTATCTGTCTGACTGAATCTGCTCTAGTCTCTGTTTTGGGTTGAAACAGAAGAAAATCCTCGATCATGATAGGGAAAACCTTGACAGTGATCGTGAGGTTGGAAGTCACTTGCATTTGACATCAGAGTAAGTAGAGGTACCTCCCAGATTGAACAAGGCAGGAGGAAAGGGTATCTCCAGCCTTGACGTTAAGTAGCCAAGTAATTTTGGTCATGTTTAGGGGATGCTCTGTGATCTGCAAGACTGACTAGTGTTGATGGAGAACACTGCGCAGTTAGCAACTTGCCATCAGGCTCTTTGTTCCTTTTGGCCTTTTTTCCCCCCAGAAGAAGCACAATTATAGTTATGTCGTCTCCAGGTCTGTGTCTGTCTGTTCCCCTCTTCCCCCAACAATGCTTTACTATTGACCAGTTTCAACCCCGTTTGGTAAGTGGGTAGGTGTCTTGGTAAAACTACACGTGCCATGAAAACAGGCAGTTGAGTGGGAGCAGGATACCCTGGGAAAAGGCTTATCCTTTATTAGAGATCAGAGTGCCCACAAGAGAGGGAGATACCAGAAAGCAAGCATCCTAAACAGATCTGTGAGATATGGAAGTAGTTTTCTTATTGATTCCTTCTGAAACGTGTTGAGTTGATAACAGAATATGGGGAAGAAAAGCAAATGTGAGAACATAATGAAAGAGGCAGAACTAGAAAGGAGGGTGCCTGGTTAAAGTGTGAATTAAAGTGAATTCATGGATATAGTGGCAATACTGGCCCTCATTTGGCATCATCAGCTGCAGAGATGGTGTATTAGTCACACAATTACCCTTAAAAAGTTTACCCTTT